GCCTGGGCGGGGCCCAGTGCCATCAGGAACCGGGGCAAATCCTGATCAAGGTCAGGCGTGAGGGGCAGGCACCAACTGACCGACGGTAGCTAAGAAATTCAGTCTCCCTGGCTGGGAGCGGTGCCAGCTTACTGTGCCTAAATCAGAATATGTTAAAGTTCTAGATGTGGTAAAGCCTAGAATATCTCAGATGGCAAGGAGCAACAAAAGAGAACAGCATCACACTGCCTGGGAGATTTATATTTGGTTTCTCCTGAAGGGAAAGAGATCAACCTCAAGAGCCTGCTTCTGTTTCTCATTACTGAACATGTCTTACTAAATCCATTCTTGACAGCATGCCTCCCCTTGGCGGGAGCAGTGGGTGCCTTTCCAGGAGCCAGGAGGAAACTGCTTGGTTCTTCCTCATAGGATTGACCGACTCTGAGTTAGTTAACTTGAATTTCTGATCACGCCCAAGTGCAGGAGTTTGCTAGGACCTATTCCATTGTGTCTGAGCTACACGAGGGGCATTAGCCAATGTCGGTCAGTGCACAGAGCCCTGCGGTGGTGTGTTTGACCCCTCGCCAGGTAGCCGGTTTGAACCCTACCTCAGAAGTGGCTTCAAATCTAGCAAAAGAAGCACCATACCACCACCATATTCATTTTATTAAGAACAGTTTTTGTAACTTGGGTCGTAGCTGAGGATTTCATTTTTCTAAAAGTTTCTGTTACTTTAAAAGATGTTGGGAAACGCCTGTCTTGTGTGAGTTGGAATCATGAGGCCTTGATTTCCTGCCTAGGCACAGGAAACTAGGCCAGCAGGGCCCTTGGAGCCAGTACAGCTGGAGGTGATTATCCACCATCCGAATTCAACAGAGATGGGAGAGGGGGGAGCTGAAGTAAGATCCCTCTTCTGCAAAGAATGTGGCTAGGAAATGGAAACTGGGGGAGGAAAATGCAGGTTTCAGTTTACAGGCCCTGGGAACTTCATTATAGTAAACGTTACCGTCCTCCTCGGGGACCTGGCTCCACTATCGGAATGTGATGAGCCATTTGCTAGAGCCACGCTGGCTCGAAAGTGTGGCAAGGCCACAGAGCCAGGGTGGCACATGGAGACATTCAGATAGCAAATGAACAAATAAATACATTTAACTGGGCTCTTAACCCACATTGGATAACTAAGGACTATAAAATATACCCCCAAATATATATAATGGCTCAAACATAATCATTTGTCGTCATAACAGTTCTGGCGAGGAGAAGAGCTCAGCAGAGCAGCTCTCCTCCCAATTTTCAGGAACTCAGCCTGAAGGAGGTTCTGTGATCGACACTCAGCTTCCAAGGTTACACTGGGAATCATCTCCTTTCCCCTAGCCAGAAAGGGGAAAGCACAGAGCGCCACCTGTGGGAGGGTTGCAAGAGTCAGACAGGCCTGGAAACAAAGCATGTAGCTGCCCCTCATTCCAGCATCAAGAACTAGCCAAACAGTCCCCGGTACAAGGAAGCTGGGAAATGAGTTGGGCGACCAGGTGTTTCCTGTGACAGGCCATTCTGCTGTACAAGGGGAAACACTATAGGGAAAGAATGGTATCTTAGTATAGTTCCTGAGCATTGCATTTTATCTCCATGTCAAAACTTGGTAGATGTCATCAGCAGAAATCTTTCTGAATTATGATAGAAAGGAGAAAAATGGATGTGGAGGGAAAAAATCAGGTGCTCACATCTGTGGTTCATGATACTCTGCCAGATCTCTAGATTTTAAAATGACTAGCTAAATGAAATGTAATGAGTCCAAGAAATTTTTAAAAAATAGCTATCCTCTGGTCATCAGTACCTTGACAGTAAGAGAATGTATTCCTGTTTCAGATAATTCAGAAATATTCAAGATACTTCGTCATGGTGGAGAAAAATGTGACAAATTATGCATTCACCTACATAATACTTTTAAGCTAATTTAAGTGTTAACAAAAATTTGGAACTGCATTTGATTATTTGATTGCAAGGAACTGAAAACCAACCACATGGGCTTACACAAATTAGAAATTTCGTTCCAAAAAAAAAAAAAAAAAACCCCACAGGTTTACAAGCAGGCAGTTTCTGTGATTGATTCTACAGTCCAAGAATTTCAGCAGGTGTGTGAGTGTCCCGGCCTCTCCTCCATGGTCTGGAAACGGCTGCTGCGGCAGCTCCAGCTATTCCACCCACATTCCAGAAAGGAAAGAGGAAGAACTGACATGAGAAAGGGTTAGTGCCTAGTTAGGGCATGGAAACAAAATGTTCTAGAAATCACATGTAGACTTCCACTTCTTACTAGCAAGAACTATGTCACATGGCCATCTCTAGCTTCAAAAATCTTAATTTTAGCTAGCCATATTGCTGTCCTGAACAAAATCTTGGTTTTGTTAATGAAGACAAAGGAAACGACAGACATTGGGGATCGGCAAGCAGTGTGTGCCTTTCCAGTTCTGCCAGTTTCCGCCACTTCTTTAGAAGCTAACACTATGTCAATATTCAAAATCTTTCTGATCCCAGAACTATCTAAACTTGTAACTGTTGAAAAGAGATTCATAGATAGGAAATATTTGAAAGTAATCTTCAGCTTTGCAAATTTAGAAACATAATTTTATCCTTTCACCCAAAATTATATTTTAAAGCTCAGGCTAAGCAAACTCGATACACTCACTGATAAACCGACTTGCTAGTGTTTTAGTTTAGCTCTCAAGCAGGATGACTAAGCCTGGACAGTGAGGTGGGGCTCTTCCTGGGGCGGGGGGGAGAGTACATACACACAGAGGCTGGTTAGAACTAGCTCAGAAGCTAAGATGTGATTCATTAAACTGGGTTAGGCTAAATTACCCTTTCTATACTAGGACTAATTGTGACTACACAAGGAAAAGAAGGGGATGGAACACTTACTGCTCATGTCCCACGCATCATAACAGGTATTTTCACATTACCTAATACATTTCAGGGTGTTTAGGATTGAATGTCTCTTTTTTTCCAGAGAGGAAAATGAAGTCCAATGAGACTGTCACTTGCCCAAGGTTGCCCAATAACAGAGCTGGGATTCAATTCCGGGTCTGCCTGACTTCAGCCTACACTTCAGAGGCATATCAGCTCTTTAGGGGGAAGACAGCAAGTGGCCCTGGCAGAGCCCACGTTCTCTCCACTACAGCAGCTGCCCCACCCGCCCGCCCACCCATCTGGCTCTTTTCCAGACGTGGAACTGGACTCATTCCACTTACCCTTATCTCTTTTGGCCCCACTTCTTCTGAGCCTCATATAGGCCCTGGCTTTTACGAACTCATAATTATTTAGATCAGTTAGAATTTATTCAGGTAGAGCTTTTTGTAGTTACACTCTTCATCCTAAAGCTAATGCATGGCCTCCTGGACTACTGGACTGTTTCTGGGTCTTCTAAGTAACACATTTGCAAGCCGTCTCTGGAGATGACAGTCTTCTGGTGTGACTGCTTTCACACACTTACATTGATTTGTGTTGTTTCTGCCTTAAAAAGGTGGTTTTTGGTGGACCTGTCCCCAGATTGTCCTGACTACAGTAAGTGCTGACCAAGTTGACCATAGCCAATCCTTTCAGAATGGAGTGTTGGATATTACCATTTCATTTAGATTCCTTTATAGAGAAACAATGTAGAAATTCATTTTTTTCTTTTCTATAGTCTTTAAAATTCATGGCAATGCTTATGTTAGGGCTGGGGATGTCAGTACACAACCCTAATGTGTTCACGGTGGCAATCTGTTCCCCATGGGACTATATATAACCCATGAGGTGGGGAACGCTTCCTGCCTCACTGTTGCAGTTTGTGCTGGGCGCCTGTACACAGTGCTGACTAGCTTCCCAGTATAACCGCGCTTCTCCGGGGGGCACACGAGGGTCCTTAAGTGGTCAAGCAGCGCTTGAGAGTGAACAGTCACGTCACAAGTCTGCATAGTTCTTTTCCTTAAAAATATACTTGTGACACCTAATGGGGCTCTTTCTGCACTACCATAAAGGCAGGCTTAATTGTCCTGACAATACCATAATACTCATCGTCATTATATTAACCCATAAGTTCTTAGGAGTGAGTACTCACAAAATAAAACTGTAAAGATTTACCTTAGATGATACACTTTCTCACACATTTCAAAACTTACAAATAAGAGTAGACAGAAGACACAGAGCTGCTCGCAGCTTCAGGGGCATCTTTAGGAGTCAGCGACATGGCAGAAGACATCCAGACCAAAATCAAGAACCAGGAACTGTCGGCAGAACAACCTGGACTTTCCCCGCTGTGACAAGGCAATGACATTTATCACCTAACTTCCTATACATTGTGTCAGGAACAATGTGTCTGCTAATGGGGGCGATGTCTCCGTGCACGAAGGGTACTGGCGTGGGTACAAGTCCCTTTGCTCCATATCCTGGGTGTGGCCTGGGATGACCGCTGGGCAGAAGGCACATTCCCTGGGAAGATCTGCACTGTCTGCACCCCGCCTCTCCTCTGTCCTCCATCTTTCTCCCAGGAAGGTTAAGGGGCACATGAGCACATCCCACCCTGGGATCCTGAATCATGGCTTAACTAATAATAAATATTTGTTGTGAAAAATAAAAGAATAAAAGAAAGTGGAACCAAATGGAGTCCCGACAAAAACACATTGTATAGGAAGTTAGGTGATCAATGTGGCATTTCAAACCAGCAAAGAAAAAATGAATGACTCAGTATGTGGTGTTGGGACAATCAGATTCTTAACACACCATACAGAAAAATTAATTCAGGATAGAATAAAATATGTACATATTTAGTCCATAAAAGTAAGCAAAATTATATGAGAAATATTTTTAATATAAGAATGGAGGAGGAGGACGGGTCCCACAATGCCAGGCTGCACACACTGCAGCCAGTACCCACACTGTGGGGACCCCCAGAAAGAACTCCCTGGAAAAGGGCAAAATACATGCGCAAATGGAGTCCTTTCACAATTCACTATCCACTTAAAAATATAAATATTCTAACACTAGACAAGTATCGAGGATAAACAGTTTTGTAAAGACTAATATGGCTTAGTATGTAAAAAATATAAAATTATTGTACAGCAATAGACATTATAAAATAACAGAAGATAAAAGAGTAGGTAGAATGTTGACAAGCAGGACAAAGAGTTACCATCCATATGTGTTAAAATTTATCAATCAAAAAGGAAAAATACAACAGAAAAGTAGGCAAGAGAATAAGCAAGTGGTCATAAAAAATACTTTACTCATAATTTTAAAAATGCTCACAAATCAAAATCGATCATCCTTTAGATGGTGCAACTGCGGCAACCCAGTTCCTCCCAGGCAATGGAATGCACACAGCGTAACCAGGAGCAATCGGCCAGCGTCCCATGTGCAATCAGCTTGGCAATCCACACTGCAGGAAGTGACCTACAGAAATACTTGCAGAAGGGCAGGGGTGTTTGCAGCAGCATTGCAATGCCAATAAGTTGAAAGCTAACTAAATGTCCATGAGTAAGGAATGGTTAAACAAATGAGCCCTTCCATGCAGTGAAATCCTTCCTCCAAGCCGCTGTTCTGAAGAAGGAGGTAGGTCAACACAGACTGACGTGTAAAGATGCTCCAGACGTGTCATTAAGTGACTTACAAAACAGTGTAAGTGGGATGATCCCAATATTTTAAAAGTTATACAATGTGTAAACAAAAATCAGGAGGCTATACATGTGCCTATCACTGGGGAGTGAAGATATGGGACATTCACCTTTTAACCTCAGTGTTTGTTAAATTGCCTTTAAATTACACCTATGATCCAAGAAGACTTGAATCACTTTGGAAAAGGCCCCATTTTTAATAAGGGTTGTAGGCTTCCTCGCCAATGTTCCAAAGGACCTTCCCAAAGTCAAGTGGGCTCAGACTCTGTCCTTGCCCTGAAGTATGAGATGCTCTATGCAGAGTCGCTACCCTTGTGAGATTTGAAGTCCACTTGAGGATGACATCACACAACAACGAGTATCACTCTTTACTGCACGGGAAGACAAAGACACAGCAGCTGGTAAATGTTGTGTGAACCGCAGAAGGACTCCCTGAAATAGGCAGAGTACCTTCTCAAAAGTGTATCCTGATGATTACAAGCCACACAAAAATATAATTATTCCCACAGGCCCTGCCAATGAGACCCATGCATCAGCTCTGCACTCTCTTTACTGGTTGTGGAGGAAGTCAACATCCAGTCAGGCAGCAAGCCCCTACTATGCACATGAAGAGATGTGGCCTGTTGATTCAAGAGTCATGTGGGAATCCATAGGCTCTGGTGACCCAGGAGTTACTGCAACTTCTTCATTCACCTCCAAGAAAGCACTGGCCTCTTTGAGAAAGGTGGATTTCTTGTTATGGCAGCCTTCTGCACCATGTGGATTCCTTTTCCTGTGTTTATTCTTCAGTCTCCTCTTGTATATCTGATATGCTAGATGTTAAAACATGCAAGTATTTAAAAAATCACTTTAGTAAGGACAATAATTTAGTGGCCTTGTGCGCTGGTCAATACTTTGGGAGTATGTTTGCACTGGGTCATATATGTATAAACACACAGGAAAAAAAGGAGGGGGCAAGGAAAACGAGAAGAAACCCTGAAACAAAACAATTCAGTGTATCAAAATGCTGGTTTCTATCTGGAATGGACCTTTTGGGAATGAGACAGTCATCAGGTCACTGACAGCTCATCCACTCGTTCATCCATTTATTCAGTCACCTCCTGTGGAGTGCTGCCAATAAGCGTGACAATCCTCTGGCTTCTGGAGTGCAGCTGGGAATGAATGTCCCTTCCCTCATCGTCTCTTGTCTTGTGGGAAAGTTAAACCACAAGTGTTCCTGACATTGATTGTTATATCAGTAATCTGTATATAATCAGTTATATCAGCAATCACTGAGACTTACTCAGAGCCTGTTCCCTGGCAATAAAAATGACTGTGGCCCAAAATTAATATACATATGTGTTTGTTCATATCTACCCATCTATGTATGTATTTTTTATATGTCTCATCAATGGGAATTTCTTTCTTATACCTATTCTGTGATTTTCTTTTTAACTTTTTATAGTTATTCTATTAGAGCTGTCCCAATTTTTCCTTTTTGTCCTCCTTCCCCCAGCCCACCCCCCACTCCCACAATCAATCCCCACGATATATACACACATATTTTTTTTTAATTTACCTCCTGTGAATCTACATAGTGATTGACTCCAAAATGATGTATATTTGGCTGTATGGATAGGTAAGCATACAGGGTGGGGCCAAAGTACAATAGGTTTACAGTTGTGAGTACACAAAAGAGTTTATTCTTGTATTATTATTAATTATGGTATTATTTTCCATATGAACAACTGTAAACCTACTTTTGCCTCACCCTGTATATATACACATACACATATGTATACCTATATACAATTAATTTCAATACTTGTGTATTATACTTCATAGTTGAAAAATATGTCACAGCTATTCAGCACAACTCTTAGTCACAAAAACACTGTGAAATAACTTGACATTTGGCTCTTGCTGAAACACAGTAAATGTCAGTTTTGAGATAAATGATGGCTCGTGGAGACTGACCAAGTCCTGAAATTGAAGTGCTGATACTGCACTGTCTTCTGTGAAGCATACTCATTTATAATTGTAAGCTTAATTTCCCCTAGTTTTTAAATATTTTTCTGTGAAACTTCCACTTTGTGGCAAAGGATCTTGTTTATGCACTTTTCCCAAAACTGTCAGGCTAAAAATGTATCACAAGAGCAGCATGTGAATTTTTGGACTGAAAAAGGAGTTGGTAAGTTGGGTCAACAATTTTCAGTCAAGTGTATCCATCCAATGGGGGCTCTACCCACCTGCAACAATGAGAATTCCATCCACCATCTGGAAGAGTCCATAGGCCAAGGGGAAGCTAATCATCTGGACCATCTGCTCAGCGGTGAAAGACAACTGGAGCATGGTGATGCACATCTGAATATTCTGAGCTCCAGTTTCTAAGGAAATTGTCCTGCACCTACAGTAATTTTTTTTCAAAAGTCACATCCTAGCAATAAGGACTATTAAATGTTCTCTTACAAATAGCAATGTCAGCTATGAGCTTAGGCCACTATCAAGGTCTATTTATTTGCTGAGTGCCTATGCTTTGGGCAGTCTCCTGAGAGGCACTTGGGAGTAGAGCCCTATGAACCCTGCCCTGGGAATCTGATTGAAAAGTCAAGAGACACACACAGGAAAAGCTCAGTAACACCAGCAGATGCTGTAGAAATTTAGAAAAGGGGCATCAATGGTTAGGGAAGGCTTCACAGAGGAAGAGCAGGATTAAAGGATGGAAAGAGGGCAGGAAAGAGGCATTTAATGTGGGACAAAGTTGACATTAAAGGTCTGGGGACAGGTATGAGCTTGGCCTGTTCAGAGGCATTGCACGGGCTGAAGCCAGCCTGTGTGGGCTAGGGGCTTGGAGGAGATGAGAAGGGAGAGTCGAGTTAGAGGTACGAAACAGTATAGGCTAAACAACACTTGAAAGTAAGCCTTTAATAAAAAACAAATGTCTGAAGTGGTTTCTTTGGTGAAAGGTCTAGGAAAATACAGGAAAGTTTTTTCCACTTTCCTATATTTTATTAGTTTCCTAATTGCAAAAAAATAAAATAAAATAAACCTCACTTGAAAAAGAAAAGGCAAGAGGAAAAGAAAGGAGGAAGACACAGGCAGGACCTCAGGGGCTGGGTGGAAACAGTTTCAGTTGTCTCCAGTCCACAAAGGGAGGCTTCAGGTTTTTTATAGATGGAAGTGAAGAGGAGAGAAGTGCTTCAGAAGGTAAACCAGCATCTCTGTGCAAGCTGGATTGGAATGTGGGTGTGTGATGTGGGAACGGAAATGTCGTCACTGGTGTAGGACAAGTTCTGTGACTCTTCTTTTGTGTCTAGTTATGCTATTGCTTCCTATGCTTTCTTCGGACTACCCTGACTTCTTTCAGACCCGCATCAATAACATGATATGATTAAGCTGCTAGGCTGGACCTCACACCTAGACCATTCACTGGGCAAATGTGTATCTCAGTCCTGATCCTTCTTAAGCCACGAGCTGTGTAAAAAACAAAAATGTTGACTACACTTCTCTATAGGAATACTTTCTCTCCAGATTCAATTATATTTCAACCACTCAACAGTCCTACTCCTCACTTCGGAAACAGATCCAGGTCCAACTACAACATTCTGGCTTCAGGCACTTGGTCAAGTTACCTAACTTCTCTGAAAGGTTTGCTCATCTGCAAAATGAGGGCACTGATAATATCTATCTCTCAGGCATAGTAAGTAAATGAGATTAGTCTTGGTGGAGCCCCATCCAGTACTTGGTATGATCTACATGTTTCCAAGTGAATTGGAAACAGCATAAAGCTAGTTTTAAAATTCCCAAACTCCACCTTTGGAATTGAACTGCATAGTTTACTTTTCTTCAATAATTCTTCTTCTATGTTAAAAGTAATACATAATGAAAAACATCAAAAATATACCAAAAAATATTAGGCATCTAAAATTAGTCTTAATCCCACTACTCAAACACTATTAGCATATTTCTTCTAGTATTTTTCCATGCATAAAATTCTTTTCCTTCCTTCTACAAGATGGCACTGAAAATGGACACTGTTTTCCATTCTTTTTTAACTAAAATTTATTTCTTAAGTATTTTCCAAAAGCATTAAAATTGATTCACTATATTCCATTTCATAGGCACATCAAAAATTAAATATCTGTATTACAAAATATTTAAATTATTTCTATTTTTACATGTATGAATAACACTGCAATTAACATCCTTACATATCAACATCTGTCTATCTGACAGCTTCAGGACAGAGCTCTAGAAGTAAAACCACTGAGTTAATTACAAATATTTATATGGTTATTGATAGAACTTGTCTTTTAGAGAGTTCATGCCAATTTGTTACCCCCACAGTATAAACTAATGCTCACCTCATCTGTTCCAATAATGTGGAATATTATCATTTTCAATATTTTGCAGCATTTATAAATTCTATTCCCCAACTTGTAATGATAATATTTAAGGTAAATTTCTACTTTATTTCTCAAGTTTGCCCTTTCTCTTCTTGCCCTTAATAGTTAGCACTTTTTGAGAAATTGGCACAAATAATGCATATATATTTAATCTCTCAAACTTGCTTGTGTCATAGAATGGTCTCTGTATTTAGTGAAACCACCTCGTCTCTCCTATTTACTAAAATACGAAGGGAAATGTGTCCAAATTACAAGTGGTATTAACACCCCAATCCTACTTTCACAGATTACAACCTCCATCAGTTTGATCTTTGCTTCATTTACATAAAGAATGACTATGATCTTTTCACCACCTTTTCGATGGGCTGTTCTGTTCCATCCACCTTGTAAGTCAAAACTCTTAGTGTTTCCTGACACAGCCAGGTAGCAAAGTTACCAGTGGCCATGTGTTTAATTTATCCTTCTCAACAAAGGTTATGGGTGATTTAACTGTACCTCGGCCAAGAGTGGTGGGTGAGAAGTGCCAGCAGAAAGCCCGTGACATAGCCAATCGAAGGGAAGATGAAACTGATGGTCAGCAGGGTGGTGTCTGGATTCCAAGAGTCTTTCGCCAGCACCAAACCAGCAACTACAACAGCCAAAAGGAGTACCCCACCAGCGATGGCCCCAGTCTAAAGCAAACCAATAAAAATAAGTACACATAAACATCATGGTCTTTATGTTCTACAATGCAAAGTCTGTCACCACTCTAACGTCTTGGAATCTAGAAATTTTAGGACAAAGAGAGGACTTAGAGACCACTGGATCCAATCTCATCTCACAGAAAATAAACCTGAGGCCAACCATGATCAAGTGGCTTGGCTACACTAGAAACTGGTAAAGGTCAGCACAGATCTAAGTCTTCTTGTTGCATGACCAGTATCTTTTCCCTTCAAGTAGAGGGTTTGGCCAGGAGGGCAGGAGGGTTAGTAGTATTTTTCTTGGATAGGACATTTGTAAAATAAGTGAAATCTGACAAAGCATCCGACACCCTTACATACACCTCTTAGACACCTCACTGGTAACCTCTTGTCTGAGATCTGCCCTACCTGGCTATCCCCCTTCTTCCCACCACCCTTCAACCACCAGTGGCTTCTTACTGCTTTGATCCTTGCCCTTCTTGCCTCCAGATGAAACTTACCCATTCTTCACTGGACAAGCTAATTAATGAATATGAGAGGTGCTGACAATTACCTCTATCCTCTCTCAAATGAATAGTGTTTCTTTCTTTTGTTGCTTAGCAGAAACAAAAAAAATCAACAACAAAAAAAATTCCAGTGGTTTGAGTTTTAGATCAGATGAAAAAGAAGCAAGACCTAGAATGTTGGGAGAGAATCAGGATCTTGGCAAGCTCCTATTCATGCCATGTAGACAGAAAAATATGCATCTAGTTACAGTATCAACTTTGATTTGAAATGATTCTGAGAGTGGAAGAAGGTAGTCACAGGTAACCAAAACAAAACAAAAACAACTCAGTGTACCATGGATGTGTTCTGAGGGTAATTTTTACTGCCCAGATACAAGGACAGACTCGGCTCCCACCTCACAGGAAGATGCTGGAACACACAAAGATTTCTGATTATAAAAATCCCTCTGCATCTTTCTACCAAAAAAAATGGATTTAAAAGTTTAAAATTCACCAAAAGCAATTTCTTTAGAAAATGGATCAATCTCAACTTAAAGGAGGATTAAGAACAGAAATTGAAGATATACCAAAATAATGATTAAGTTATCCTTTCTTTTTTCTAAGGTGCTCTAGAATATTTATGCATATTGTTAAATATCGTTTGCCACAAATCCCATGGAATAGACAAAGGAAAGGGATTTTAAAACTGCTCCTTACAGATAATAAAACTGACATACAGAAAATGCATCTGATTTCTCCATTGGCACTGACAGGCTATCAGAGGATCTGGAAACACCAAAAATAATGTTTTTTTGTTGTTAGATGCCCTTTAAGGAAAATAATCAAAGGTAGAGTACTTGAAAAGTAAGAGGTTCCCATGAACATATTTTCTTCTCTTGTTTTACAGACAAAATTGTGACTATAAACTACCACACTGGAAATTTTCTCTGACTGAAATAACAAAGTGACATTTGTAGTCCAAATGCACAACCTGGAAGCCTCCTCCAGCGTTCTGTGCCCAACTGCTCTGTCTGCTCCTCCCCCACCCCTTTCTCACATTCCTCGTCTCGTCTCTGTGGAGGAACAGTGGGAGTCGTTCAGTCTTGTCCCAAAGGGAAAGCAGCACCATTTATGCAGGCAAGTGAGTGGCCATGTTCTGTCAGGTGGAGCCAAGCAGCAAGAGCTTAAACCAAACCAAACCATAAACCCCAAACTCAAACAAACTCAGATGTATTTGCTGAGCCTCCAATCAGCCCCAAATGTTTATTTCTTTATAAATGTAAAAATAACTAAAACATTTCTTAAAACTCTTCATGAAAGTAGCACATAATACAATCCTCTATCTTCTAAAACAATATGTAATTGCGAAATTAGAAAGCAACCCAGGAGATTAACACTCCTGTTGAGATTGTCTTCTCTCAAGCTAGGTATTTTTAAAAGCCATTTAAAAATAAGACATGAGACAGCCCTTCACCCTGCTCTACTCCCTGAACACTGGGTGCCATTTCACGCACACCTGAACGGCTTTCACCTTGAGAGCCCCTATGTGAAGCCCTGGGAATGGATGAACCCTGGTTTCTCTCCAACCACACACAGGCTTTAGATTTTCTGTCACTCAGCAAGAGTCCCACAATTTCCAGGGTGTCATAACCCCCGGTTTATGGATCTATGGGAGTGACAGCAAGGCTTAGAGAAGCAGAGAACATATGGCAGTTGGATCTAAAATGTAGGCCATGTAAGGAAAATTGCTGGGTGTGGGACTGTATTTGACTGGCTCATTTGTTCCAGTCATTGCTCCATATGCTTGTCAGGTCTCTGAGTCTGAGGGTGTGCTCACGGCAGGTGGGGCTGCTTACCTTGAGGATGATTTTGGATTGTTTTGTCCACCTATAATTCACATAGACACCAAAGGCCACAGGAATGGTCAGGCACAAAATGGAAATTCCTGAACAGAAGGAAAATCTGTCAGAGGGTACCCTGCCTCACCTTAATGCCAGTCCTCAGCTATTTCTACTTCAATTAGATAAAAGCTATAATTACAGCTGCATTGTTTTCTGCATCCTCCTCCAACTTTTTTTAATCTTTGGAAGACAGTTTTTGAATGGTATATGACACTACTGAATGCTACCACCCTTGGTCCATCACTTCTCTCAGAATCCCTCTGACAATCACGTGGAATTTCAGAGACAACTGGAAATTAAAAGGTCAGAAAACAGGAGGACCCTTTTTAATCTATGATATTCTTTGTTTCTACGTATGGGCTCACCCTCTACAACCATAGCTGTTATTCCTTATTTGAAGCCAATGGTTCATTAGCTTCACAAAATAAGAATACCTGTTTCAGACATTAAAAAGAGCATTTGTTGAACATACCAAAGCAATGTCTCATATTCTCCATGTGTGGCTAGTAACCCTAAAGCAGGTAGGAAAAAATGCCTTTTATGTAACCCAAGTGAATACAGGCGTTGACAACAGGGTCAGTGGAGCAGGGGCCAGCTTGCCCACGGCGTCCGCACACTCTGGTTTTTCAGTGGGGCCAAATGCCTGCAATACTAGCTCCAAAGCTATATAAATTGCTTCTAATATTTTGGATTTTAATTATTTGTGACTACCTTTTAGAATGCCATTAAAACAGACTATATCAAGTAATTTACTGATATTTAGGCACAGAAAAGGCTGCATGCAATCATGAAGATTTTTCTCAAATTTTACAAATTGAATGGTCTCCAGCTGTTATCAGGAGATAGCCATAGTTGTGGTTTTGACATACAGCCCATGGGCTGTAAGCCCTCCAGGTGCTTACTTGAGACTCCAGATTGACACTTTAGAGTTTCAAGAATCACAGAACAAAGGTTCTACCAGTTCTCCAAAATTCCTGACCAAACTAGAATTAGAACAGGCAGATAATTTCACCATGTTTTTCTTCTGAGTCTAGTGAGTCCACAGAGATCTCTAGGAAAAGGACAGAGTTTAATAAATAATATTCAGCAAAGGAGATAAAGAACAAGATATGAGTAAAAGTTGTGACATGTAGATAGACTTTAATAATCAATAGGCATCAGGGATGGTGGGGTGAAAATGGAGACAACTGTACCTGAACAACAATTAAGAAATATAAAGATAAAAACAATAACCAATAGGAACCACTTTTGTTGATCAGTGAAGAAGCCAGGGCTTGTGGGTGATGTGAAGGGTGGAGCTGTGGGGACTAAGGTCTCATTGGAGCCACTGTGATCTAGCTAACCTTCTGGTCATAATGAGTCCAACTGCTTTATAGTAAGTTACATAATTTTAAAAAAATAATGAAGTTTTCTGGCTTTATTTTTAAAAGTGAACTCTCAGCCCTGGCTGGCGTACCTCAGTGGATTGAGCACGGGCTGGGAACCAAAGTGTCCCAGGTTCGATTCCCAGCCAGGGTACATTCCGGGGTTGCAGGCCATAACCCCCAGCAACCGCACATTGATGTTTCTCTCTCTCTCTCTCCCCCCCTCCCTTCCCTCTCTAAAAATAAATAAATAAAACCTTTAAAAAAAATAAATAAATAAAGTGAAAAAAACAAAACACTGCTTTGCAGTGACTAGGGGAAAAAAAAAAAAAGTGAACTCTCGTAGGAGTTAAGAGCTTGGACTTTGCAGACAGATTCCTGAATCAGAATTCTAGGTTTGCCCTTACCAGCTGCATGATGTTGGCCAAGTTATTTAACCTCTCTGATCCTGAAAATCTAGGAAATGGAACTAGGAATAGAATCTGTATTGTAGGGTTGTTCAGAGAATTAAATCAGATAACATAAATGCCCCTGCATAAAGGAGGCAGGAGTAAACAATAGCCAGTATTCTCACTATCACCATTCTTGCTCCTATTTCATTTCACAAGCTCATACACACCTATGGTCCGATATGGAATAGTGAAATTCTGCTCAAGATTCCAGGACAAGGTGTAGAGATAGAGGCAGAGTGGCATCATTCCCAGGGCAGCCACTGTGGAGCAGGCCGTCATACTGATGCTGAAAGTAAAATTAAAATAACGTGTAAGAAGGAGAGCTTGAGATGAAGAAGTTAGTCCCACACCTAAAGCCACCCCAAACACAACATCTTAGAGATGACATGGGGTAACTTACTTGAAGCTTACTCCTATCTTGTTATTCAATAAATGATGGCTGCATTTGTGGTCTACAAAAAGATTTCCAGCAGTTTTTGACATCCATCTATTAACCCTTATTTACTTGAGGATATACTTGTCCTAAATATTTTGCTAGTGACAGTAATAAGGATTTTTTCCATATCCAGTTCTTTTCTATTGAGATGATTTATAGACCATAAAATTCATCTTTTAAAGCATTTTTAATATATTCACAAGATTGTGCAAAAACAACACCTATTTCCAGAATATCTTTATCAAAAAATAAATCAAACAACAACAAAAAAATGCACCCCACCCTGGCTAGTGTGGCTCAGTGGACTGAATGCCAACCAAAAGGTTGCCAGTTCAATTCCCAGTCAGGGCACATGCCTGAGTAGTAGATCAGGTCCTCAGTAAGGGGCATGGGAAAGGCAGCCACACATTGATGTTTCTCTCCCTCTCTTTCTCCCTCCCTTTCTCCCTCCCCTCCCCTCTTTCTGAAAGTAAATAAATAAAATCTTAAAAAAAACGCTCCCCATTAGTAGTCACTCCCCATTCCCTTCTTTCCCCAGACTCTGGCAACCAATGATCAATCTACTTTCTGTCTTTATAGGATTGCCTATTCTGGACATTTCTCATAAGTTCAATTATGTGTGTGTCTGGCTTCTTTCACATGGCAAGTTTTCAAGGTTCAGCCATGTTTTAGCATGTATCAGTAGTTCAGTCCTTTTATGACTGAATGTTATCTTGATTACTGTAGTTTTATTATACTGCATGAAATAAGTTATTGCTCCATAAATTTATAATATATTGTTTTTATTTTTCCAAATATGTAAGGTCTTATTTTTTAGTCTTTATTTTAGTTGGAGAAAATCACTTGGTTACACATTAAAATGCATAAGCATATATGAGTATACATACATAAAATACATAAGCATGTATAATGAGAGATGAGGAACTGGGGCGCTGAGTTTTGGGAGGGGCCCCTGCTCTGACCTGGGAAGAGAGAGAAGAGCGCGTGGCATAGGGAAAGCTCAGACAGAGACGTGGTAGAGAGCCAGGAGGTACATTCCACAAAAGAGAAGAACCAAGAGGTTCCAACGAAAGGCAAAATGGCAGCAAGAGATCAGGGAGGATGAGAACCCAAGAAGTCGATTCAGAACCATCCAACTTTCCCCCAATTTTATGGGTCTCCACCCCAAATTGACCCTTTCCATCTCCCTCCCCCATTGCCAACTCCCCGAGTTGTTTTCTCTCCATATCTGGGTGATGGAACCAGTGAAAGAATACATCAGAAAAATTAGGGGAAGTGAGGTAAGTGGAAATGAGATATCCTCCAGGCCAACTAAATATTTTATCTTTAAATTGTTGAAAAAATTACACAATGTGTTTATACACGTACACACTGTTTACGGACACCATGCATGCTGCTTTACCTGACGAGCTGAGGCAAATAACACACCACACAACACAACCCAGGGGTGAAGTAAGACTTCATTCATTTCAACACCAGGCCCCGAGAGTCTGTGAACATTCCAGTATACACTGTTAAGTTCCCACGCCAGACTGCCTTACACATAGCCTGGGCCCAGTCTGGCCCATGGCACAGATGGCTGAGAAACCAGGAGGTGGAGCACCGCCCCCCAACACACACACACACCAGGAAGAGAAAGGAGACCCTCTGCAGGGCTGAGGTCTGCTGCGGAGGAAACGAGGGTCCTCCAGCACTTCATCATTGGGCCTGGGGTCCCGTGCCATTCTTCCTCATAACATACATCACAAACCTTTCCATCTAATTTCCCTGCTTATAAAACAATCTATGTTTACTTTGATATTTTCTATCAGAAGAATGTTTATTATAGTCTCAGCCAAGCAGGATTTATTTCACTTCAATGATGTTGAATATAATCTTTCTGCACTCTCATTCATGGCAGATAAAAAAGGCAAAATGGATACTCCTGGAGAGATTTGGCAACATTTAGCAAAATTATACATGCATTTGACCTTCTAGCCTGCAACTGCTTATCTGGGAACCTATCCTAAAGATGTGCTGTGAAAACAATAAGTTATAAGATACATATTCAATACATCTTATTACCCAGCAGTCTCTGGGCAGCAGCATTCCAGAGAGTGAAACCAGGAACTGCAAGGCCCCTTGAAGCTTCTGCTTGGAAGACACATGGTATTGCTTCTGCCTCATTCTGTTGGTCAGAGAAAGTCAGCTGCCAAGCCCAGACTCAAGCAGTAGGGAAATATGTGCCCCCTAACTCCCAGATGGGTGGACCAGCCTTATTACATTGCAACAGAAGGTACATATGAGAATGGAAGGACTTTTGGCCATACTTTGCAATCTATCATAAATACTGAAATATTTACAGGTAAAGTAATAGCTGGAGTTTGCCTCAACATAATCCACTGGGTGAGTGGGGAGATGAAATGAGCTGATCAGACGTTGGTAACTGCTGAAGCTGGGTGAAGTATACAGACGGTTCACTATGCTAATCTGTCTACTTTTATATATATTTGAAGTTTTCTATAATAAAAATAAGTGTCACTTCCAACCTTGTAGGGAACAGTGCAGTGTTGCTACCAGTCTGGTTAGGTGAGGTTTTCTCTGTCATATCGTACTGGGGTGGGCTTTGCCCTGCATCAAGCATTATGCACAGACTGTGGGGGCATCTAAAGCAGTTCCTGGCCGACCCTGGCCAGCCGTGGGCATGCCCACCCTCAGCACTGCTGTGTACCACCTATCTGCTCTTCAAGTGTTCACTCTTAGGGGATGGCCACCACCGCCATCTGGACACACTTTTATCACATTACCTCACCTGCTGCACACATACCGTACTCTGCACAAGAGCTGTGTACCTGTCGACATGACCCAGACTGTGAGCTGTGAGAGGGGCAAGGGCCTTAGTGACCTCCCCAGCCCTGGAACCTGGCATAGCCTCCTACTACAAAGCATTGAAGAAGCTCATTATATCCTTGCTGGATAAACACGTGGATCAAAGGATGAACCAGAATGCCAATACACTGGTGCCAGGAAAATGTTCTCTCTGCCTTCCTCATGGGCCATATGACTGCATCAGAGTCTTGAAAATCTTTGCGACATGACCCCTTTACACTGAACTCAATGGTAGTCACCTCTATCGCAATCCAGAGGAACAGAGACTTTCTGTTAAAACATAACTAAAATCTTGCTCTTCCAAGTACAAATGTGAGTAACATTTTAAAAATCAGCTTTTCAGAAATCTAAACTTAGATAATTTGCAAGTATTTGTATACATTCCTTCCCCTCTTTTATTTTTCCATTAAGCAGTCCTGTTTCTTACATGTTCATTCAATGAATAGAGCTTTATTCTCTGTTTTTCTCTTTTTGAAGTAATCAAATAATACACATCACTCTGCAACTTGGTTACTTTTTTTTGTCTCATCTTAATATCATAGGTGCCCTTTCAGGACAACAAATACAGCTTAAGCTCATTATTTTAAAAAATTGTATAGTATACCATAATATAAACACACCATAATTTCTTCAGTCAACCTTGTTAATGATGAATAAATTGCTTTGAGTGTTTTTCCATTATAAACAATGTTGTAATAAACATTCTTTTACATATTTCATTTGAAATTATTCTTTTATTTCTATGGAATAGATTTCTAAAATTGGAATTACTATGTCAAAATTCTGTTTTTAATTATAAGATAGTACCAGATTATTTTCCAAAAAGACTGTTGCATTTCACAATCTTGCCTACACTGGATGTGACCAGTTCCTTTTGATTTTAATGAGAATACTCTTATGCAACAATGCATTTTGCTGTTATTTTGTTACACACAGTTTCAATGAAGTCATATTTTCTTTCATGTTTGCTGGCCTCTTAGAGGTCCTCTCCAGACAGTCTTGCTAACTTCCTGGCCAAAATGGAAGCATAGGTAGACACACTTTTCCTCCTTGCACACCACAAGAAGAATTACAACTAACCTCAAAACAAAAATCACCCAGAACTGCCAGAAAATCTAACTATGAAAGTCTGACAACCAAGGAGTTAAATAAGCCATATTCATCCAGATGGGTAGGGAGGGTGGAGACAGGGAGCTGGGGCAGAGAGGACGCAGTGTGTCAGTGGCAAGGTGGTGGGGGCAAGGTGGCAGTCACAGTGGCTGGCAGAACAGGTGGTCCCACATTCTCGTGTGTTGGATAAAAATCAGGAGGGATAACTTGGGAGTAAGTGATCCCAGCCCCAGGCCATACCACACAGCCCAGGGGTCCAGCACCAAGAAATAAAGCCCCATAACTTCTGGCTGTAAAAACCAGTGGGGGTTGGGGTGGCAGAATAAACTGCTAGTCTGTCAAGAGACCATTTAAAGTACCCACACAATCTAGAACATATAAAAACCCACCCACTCTGGGAACCACCAATGAGGCAGCAGCTGAAGGGGTGCCAGTCACATAAGGGAAGGGGGTGAAGTGACTGGAAACAGAGCAAGTGCTGAGCAAGCCTCCAGCAGCCAGGCAGTAGCATTGCCCTCTCTCCAAGTCTTCCTTCTACACAGAGATACAAAGTGGTGAAGTAGTTTGCACCACCCTGGCAAATACCTAAACCTTACAACTTAACAGGCACACTAAGACAGGAGTCAAAGCAGTTCTACCTAATACAAAGAAACAAACATAGGGAGACTGCCAAATTGAGGAGACAAAGAAATATGGCCCAAATGAAAGAACAACGAAACCCCAGAAAAAGAACCAAGCGAAACAGAGATATCCAACCTATCACTGGTGATCAGGATGCTCAGAGAACTCATTGAGTACGGCAAAAGCATAAGAGAAGAAATGAAGGTTACACTAAGTAAAATAAAGAGAAATCCACAGGGAACCAACAGTGA